GGGGGGGGGGGAGGGAGGGGAGGCGTGTGGGCGTGGATGTGATTTGTCCCGGTGAAGTTTTGGCACCTTCCTCTTGACCACCGCGCCAAAGGCACATGACCTGCGGTGACAAGAAACAAAGAGAACAGCACGACCAGCTCAAATGCATTAATGATACCTGAGTGGTTTCTTTTTCTTGTTCTCTCTGCCTTTTTTTGTTGTTTAGTTTTCCTTTCGGTTCGGGTTTGGCGCTGCCCTTTTCCCGCTCTTGGTCTGCTTGAGCCCGCACACTCTGCTTCTTCTTCACGTTCGTGTGTTGATGTCCAGTGTGTACAACAAAAAATAAATGCAGGAGCTCTTTCACACACACACATACACACATACACACATACACACACACACACACACACACACGCTTACACGCAACACACACACACACTTACACAAACGTTCTTTAACGTCAAAAGCTTTGACCTGGTAAATATGCTGACAATAGGTTAATCCCGAGTCTCTCAGTCTCTTGAAAAGACCAAAACTTTGTCAGACAAAAGTGGTTTTGGAGAAAAAAAAGACGCGCGCGATGAATTTTTTTTTTTTTTTCTGCGCGCGCGCATTCTCTCCGCGGGATCGCGCGCCCAGGCATCGGGAAGAAGGCGCTGCGTGCGTGCGTGCCTGCGTGCCTGCTGGATGCTGGAACGGCCCGATCTGTTGGATCGTGGTATGGGTTGAAGCCTGGCATGGTTCAATTTGGATGGATCCATTCTGTTTGATTGGATAATGGTGTTTTGAGCGGCTATCCCGACCCTCGCGTGAACCCCTTGGAGGGCGAGGGGCATTGTCCCTTCCAGCTTTGCTCAATATCGAGGCGAGCACGCACTCTGTGATAGATTGCAGGCATTAAAATCATCACCATGGCATGGCTTGACCGTGATTTCGGTGCCGAGCTGATGCCTCCTTCACCTGCTGGCCCTGACCAAGACAACGACATGATCTTGCTCCTCCAGGTACCGTCGTGTCGCCCTCACCCCCCCACCCTCCCCACCCCAACTCCCGGCTTGCCTCGTCTTTGAGTCAGAATTCACTTCCCTGGCCGAGGAACGCGCAGACACTTGCAGCCTCTCGCAAATCTTCGGGAAGTACCTCAAGCGCACCTTCCCCCACTGCACTAGCTGCTCTCGAAGAGCTTCAAAGTTTGCAGGCTCCCGATTTTCCCCGCCTCACCCCGAGTAAATTGCTCCAATCTCTCAAGCCTCAGAGCGCCACTTCCGAAGCACAGGTGCGCCAAAAGTTTCACCTGCCACCCTGCGGACTACACTTACACTTCAAGACAAGCCCAATCTCATTTTCTCCTGTCGCATTCCCTCTGTAGTTGGTGCAGATCTGGGCCGCCCTTCCGCTCCTGTCGCCATTGCCCGAGCATGCAGCTGACGTCGCGCGCGTCATGACAGCCCTGGCCCAGCAGCTACCGCACGCCTCCTCAAACTGGCTTGCTCTGAACTGGGGTGAAAACTGTGCTCCCAATGTCTTTACCCACATCGCCAGTCTCGCTGAAATCGCGCTTGCCCACTTAAACCTCGATGAGATGCTCGCCATTGCCTCGGCCTTATTACACGCCCTTGATCGCCTCAACATGAACGGCCTCCTCTTTTCTGAAACCGCAGGTATGCGGCTCACTCAATCCCATATAGCCTCCCACCCGTAGTCATTCGTCCCATATCGTCGCTCATCACCTAAGCCCGCTGGGCGCTCCCCATTCACATGTAGCTCAAGGCTTGGTGCTCGCCCTGCAAACACTATGGCCCTTCTTGCTGCAAACATCCATTGGACGGTCACGGACCCTGGAGGCCTGTCTCAACCTCCGCGCCGTTGCCACGACCCACCTGATCACGCAACACAATCTTCTTGCCGAGCTTCTCCACTCTTTAAGCTCACACCAAAACAACTCCAGCGAGCCTCTGCCCGAGGGCGTGCCAACAGACCTGACCCTTCTTGGACACCTCGTCGACCAACGCCTGCGCCGCGTCCCCCACCCGTCCCCCCATAGCGCCACCTTGACTATGGCACTTGCTGTTCTCCAGCATATGCTAATTAACGTCGCCACTGCCCACGAGGGCTCGCGCGACATCAACAAGGAAGAGAGCAGCACCCCCGCCGGCCAACGCCGCTTCCTCACCGAATTTGTGAGGTACGTGGCGTGATCACTCGCCGTTTGCTAATTCTCGACATGTTCATGTCTCCATTTTCATCATCTGTCTCCATCAAGCCCTCAACCACCTCCCGTTCCTGACTACGTCTCAACAATAGAATTCTCGCCGATTTTGATCCGGCCAACGTCACCACGCTGTTGCTACGTGTAACGGAAACCCACGAAGACACCTTGCTTTTAGCTACCGAGCTGCTGCAGGATGTCGTGGCCACTCAGCAAACAGCCGGCAACGGCGTGGCCATACGTGATGTCATTGTCACCCGCATCTTGGCTCATGTGCAAGAATGCCCTGCTCGATTTCTTCAAGGTAGGCGCGCTCACCGTTTTTTCCCAGTTCAAGCCTCTGTGCACCCCATCGTCGACACTCCACGCTTTTATTGTGTCCTCGTTCTGCTGTTTGGCCTGTTTCCTTACATCTGGTGTGATCGCCCGCGTCAGACATGATTCATTGCCATGGGCAGCTCCTCAACCAACTTCGTTGTTCATGTCCTCAACTTGCCAAATACCTTGAGCTCTGCTTTAACCGCCTCTTACTCCTGATCGACGGGGACACCGCCTTCGACAAGGCTTCTGATGCCTTGGTCCACGAGGCTTCGGTGGAAGCGGCAAATCTCTTTGAGACTATTTGCGATTGTTGGTTTCGCTACCACTCCAATGAGGCTGACTTCGGTCCCTTTGACGTGTTTCAAGCCCTGCTTGCTCCTCGCTGCATGATCACCTTTTTCAGTATGATCCAGAGCGGCAGGTCAGTTTATTTTCCTCAGCCATTTCTGTTCATACGCTCTCATCTTGCTGCTTCTTTCTCCAACCATCCCTCATTTGTTCTTCGTCCCATCTTCAATATACAGTCCATCTGCTCTCCAGCTACAAGCCTACTTTTCCGAAGGAAATGCAAATCATACCCTGGGCTTCTTGCGCGCTGGCTTAGAAGCCATGTGTCTCATCGAACCCGCTACTTTGACCACCACCCATGCTCAAGCCACGGTCTCACGACTTTTGCACGCCATCTGGAGCTGGTGCGAAACCTACGCCCCAAATCTCGACGGCGTGCAAGATCAACTCGTTGGAGCGCACCCCATCCTCCTGGCTCTCGATCCCCATCCCGAGCCCCACGCTGACGTCCCCCACGACACCCACCCGGAAAGTCCCCCCGCCACGCCTGTGGCTTCTTCAGTTCCTGAGAGTTTGGACCGATTGTCAGTCCGCAGTGCAAACACTGATGCCAAGGTCTTGCTGAACATTGATCGCGACTCCGTCGCACCCATGGCCGCCGATCTGGTGGACAAGCCTCGCATGGTCCGACCGGTATTGGAAGCCTTGGATACGCTAGATCAGTGCCTACTCACCATTTGCAGGTTGGGTGAGCTGCCCATTGAGCCCGGCACCGGCGCACAGCCTGCCTCGCCCTCTACACCCGCCGCCACGCCTAGTCCGGTCGACACAAACGGTAAACACGCAATGGGCTGCCTTACGCTTGTGTATGCAGCCCTTTTGCGACGTGCCTGGGCAAATCACGCAGGTGCATACGGGCGTTGCTGGTCTGCGTTGGCCAAGCGAATTGCCACCCACTTTGGTCAATCCCCACCCACGTCCACATCGCTGCTACACACCGTGGTTCAGGGCGCCTCGCGGGCTACCATGTTAAACGAGGATGGCCGACAGCTTCTTGTGTTTGCGCTCTGTCAGCTCCACTTTGGTAGCGGCTCTGCACAGCGCACCCCGCCTCCGACCGCCACGTCCACAAGTCATCCAGACCCGAAAGAGCTCAAAACTTCCATTGACCCCGACCTGCTTGAGACCGCGTGTCATGCAATCCCTGCCCTGACAGAGCATTTGCTGGAGCGGGGTTGCCGCTACTTGTTGGAAGAGCTCAGCCTGCTTGTTCTCCCAGCCTTGGAAACCGTGTGCATGACACCTTTGGTGTTCTCACCCTCTCTGCACGCGGTGGCGGAAAATGCTGTCAGTCACTTGCTTCATCAAGGTGTCTGCGCCGCGCAAATGCAACAGTGGCTTGTCAATGCGCGCTCTCGATGGCCCGCAGTGGCCGCTTTTCGCGCGCTGCGTCTGGGGACCACGGCTCCCGCTTCTGGCGTGGATGGTCTTGTAGGGGAGCGCGGGCCTCGCCGGTTCTGGAAGTTTGACGCACGCTCCTACTTGGTCTTCTCCAAAGCACAGTCTTTTTGGCCCTCTTCTTCCCATCAACAGGGATTCTCTTTGCTCTTTTGGATTCGGCCTCGCTGGCAGCTTGAGTTTCTCGAGCAAAGCCGGCTTGATAGCAGCGCCATTGATGGTGCAGGTAGCTCAGCTGTGCCCCTCGTGCAAATTCATTGCTGCGATGAAACAGGACGTGTTTCTGGGCACACGGCTTGGACCATAGTCCTCAGCCCAAACAGCGCGCGCCTGGGGCTGCACGTTAGTTTGAGCCACCGCAGTGGGGAGCGACAAGAGGAGTTGATATGGTTCGGCACCAATGTCTCAAACGAGGAATGGACGCATGTCGCCATTTCACATCAGCCGCTCGGCGACGGCGAAGAGGCCTCTGTAGCGGCGGCTACAGCTGCAGCCGCCGTGGCCGCCGTGCACGATGAAGAAGGATCTGCCTTCTTCCCGAGCCCGTCCCCGGTGAGCCCAAGTAGGGTGCGTAGCAGTTCATCAACAGCCTACGGGGCCGACTTTGCGACAGCACGCACTTCCGGCCACTGGCAGTCAGGTGTTGCCACGGCCTATCTCAACGGTGTCGTTGCCGCATCACAACCCATTCACTTGCCGTTGCGAGAACCGCAGCAAACGCACCACACAACTGTCCTCTGTCGCCGTGTGATTGTTCGTCAAGCTGCAAGCACGGCAACTCAGATGATGGGCAGCCCCGAGAGCGCGGCAAGCCGACTATCACGTCACGGGTCACTTCGTGCAGTTGACAGCGCTGTCCTGAGCATTGCCGAGGCGAGCCCCATGGCGATGCCCTGGTCGGCAGGCCAAGCGAGCTCGGCGGGCCATAGTCAGCCGCCCCCTGGGACGCCTCAACTCTTACACTCACGATCGCACCTGAGCTCAAGCAAGAGCCCCATGCCCGTCTTTGCTGAAGACACTGTGCCAGACATGGACGCACCCTCGGAGGTTTCGGAGCCTTCGCGCTTTCGGCGATTTTTTGCTTCAGTGTTTGGCCGCACAGCGCGGCGCCAAGAGGACCTCAACGCGACCATTCAGCGCATGCACAGCTCCGAGCCTCAAAATGTGTTATGGCAGACCCCTGGCGTACCGAGCACGCCTGTTAACGGGCGCCTGCATTTTTTCCCAAGCGAAGCTGACCCAATCTTTGTTTCAACGTCGCCACCCAACTGTCCTTCCGCGAGCAGCATCGGGCACTCCTCCACGTTTTTATCACCATCGCCACAAACAGGCTGGTTGAGCTCGCACTCCCCTCTGCACGTGGCCCCACCTTCGGCCCGCTCGAGCCTACGCTCCATACCCCCTCCCAAGCTCGACCTGGGTCCCGTTGATGCATCCGTATTGGTGTCGGATCTACCTGCACCCCAGCGCCACAGTACGAGCGATTACTCTCAACCCATGGTCCCAACGACAGACTTGGGCGCTCTGACGGCGCTCGCCACAGTGCTCAGCTACGAGCAGGTCCTTATCGACTTTGCACTTGGTCCTGATCGACGCGGGTATAACGGCCTTGAAGACGGGCCTTGTGCTTTTGCTCTTCGCCGAGTTCTCACTGCTACAGTCGTGCGCAGTTACTGCCGAGCCAAGGAAGCGGCCGATGCGGCCGAATGTCAATTGCAAAGCCAGCACAACCAAGGGTTGCTGCAGCGCATATCTCGTTCTTTCTCCACATCGCGCTTGTCCATGGGGAGCAGTAATACTGTGGGCCAAACCCAGTTTGTGTCTCCTGAGAATGCACTCCTCGACGTGTTGTCAGGTACGCTGGCTGTTTATCGCTTCGTGATCCCAACGACCACAGCCTGCATTTCAAAGATACGCACGATTGTGGAATAGATGGTCGATTCTTCATGCAGGAACTCCGCCGAGCCGTCGTGTTATTCCTGACCCCCGATACACAGGCCGCCTATTGGCGTCCTCTTCACAAGGACGAGTTATGGCATGAGGTGTGTAGTGTTGTATGAAGACCCCCCCCCCCCCCC